TAAGACAATCAAATCTAACGAAACCCTTTTTAGCGCTTATTTCTTTAATCGTTTTCTTCCTCATAGTACTAGTAATACCCTTTGCTCTGAACATGCAAACCCTACGAATCATCAAAATACAATCCGAAGCCGGAAACGTCTCTGCTGTTTACAAAGCCCTTGAGAAACAAGCCGAAACGTTGATTCTAGTCAATCATCCGATTTGCCAAACTGTTTGTATGGCGTGAAAATAAGTTTTGTTCAAGTTTGTTTCCATGAAGTGTCTCGTATTTGCAAATCTTCTGAGGAAGTTGCCAATGTGCAGCATGACGGATCGGAAGTAAGGGTTTCAAAAGAATGTATAATGAACACGTGTATTAACTGATGGAACTGATTTGCTTGATTAAGCTAACGAGTATGTGTCCAAAGCACGATAGACAATGAACAGTATTACAAAATGGTTAGCATCTTTTGCTGATTTTCATACGGTGGCTATTATTTGAGTTAAGGCTAACTGCCTCCCTACGAATCGCACAAATAAGATAACATGGCAACTGTTACCATTTCCGACATGATCACTCCAGAACACAATGTAGTCCATTTCATTCTAAAGTGGGTAACTGAGTTTTGAGCCAGTTGAGCAGCAACAACGTCAATGAATTGCTTGCTTAAGGGAATAAACAATACAAAATAAAGTAAAACGCTAGTGCTCTCTCCTATTAAATAGGACTGAAGAGAATATAATAATAAAATTTTATGTATAAAGTAGAGCATTTGCACAGAAATAATCGCTCTCCAAAGGAAAGGAATAATGCAAGTTGAATTGATCAACCTATATAAGGGATCAGAACGAATTGCAAAACAACTGCAAAAGCGTGTTTGTATTCTGTTACTTGAAAACTATGTGAATAAACGGTTTGTTCATAAACAACGTAAACAGATTGGCCAAACGGGTGATTAACCAGTGCCTGCGCTTCTACTTTTCTCTGACGGGACACCTTCTTCAGTGTGGGCAGAGTTATATTTCAAAGTTCATTCTGTTGTCCGCAGCCTGTTGCAACATTTCTGGCTAATGAACCTTTTGACTCGTGAAGCAAGCCCTTGAGAAACGAGTCAAATCATATGCATTGGCTAATCATCCGATTGTCCAATCTGTTTGTTTTGCGCATAAATAAACAGTTTTATTCAGTTTCTAGTATAGTCACCAACGTTTGAAAGGAAATGCTCATTTTTCTGTACTTTACTGCTGGAATATACGGAACATCAACATGTCTTTCTGCATACAAAAAAAGCAAGAAATAAGTTTGGGTTAAGCGGTAGGTAAGTAAAGCCATGTTTAGGCCATCTGTTAATAACTGATGATTGACCCTTCAAACTAACAATGATGAAAGATTCTTCTGTTTCTTCTATGCTTGCTTTGGCAGAGCGATATTTGGCAGCGACAGCATAAATTTAAATCTGACCTATCAGGCGTCACAAATCATTTGGTCATGATACAGAGTATAAAAGTACCTTATCATCATAAAAGTCTGTAGTTTTGCCGGCTGTTTGAGTTCTTTGTGTTGCGAAGGTGCGTTAACAATGGTCGATGGTCGGTTCGCGGTGGATTTATCGCTCGTTAACGTGTTGAATAGTCAGCCAGTGAATTCGACTGGAAAATTTGTTTTGTACTGGGTGCAAGCCGCACCACGGGTGGCTTACAATGCTGCGCTTGAAATGGCCTGCAGTTTGGCCAATGTCCACAAAGTACCGCTGTTTGCGGTCTTCGTGCTCTCCGCAGGTTATCCGTCAGCGAACGCCAGACATTATACGTTTCTGCTGGAAGGTCTTCGACAGTTTCAACAGAAGCTTAAGGAAGAGAGACGATTGCGGCTGGACGTCCTCCAAGGCGTCGCTTCAGAGGTCATTCCAGAATTGGCCAAGAACTGCTGCGAAATGGTTGTGGACATGGGCTACACAAGGATTCAACGCGAATGGTAAGCCGTTTATAATGTAATTATGGCCAGCTGTAGTTGGGGTAGGTCCTTGTACTTTATACCTTAAGAAGATATTTGGCCTATTCCCTCGCTGACCGATGTTATGGCGAATGATACACAGAGCTAGCCGTCACCTGAGGACATCCGTATGGAACACAGCTGAGGAAGTCGGGCTTTTCGTTATTGTCAGGAAGTCAAAGTTTATGAGGAACCCATTCGACACAGCTGATCTACAAGTGCTTCAGATGGTTGAATAATTTAAGTGTCTGAGCTGCATTCTCTTCAGCCATGTAACAGCCCTATCAGAATTAAGCAGGAGGATCGTCCTAGCCTCACTTGTTTCTGGGAACCTGCCGGATATTTAGGCTGAGAAACAAATAAGTCTTTCCACAAAAATTCGCCAGTACCTTGCCTCTGTCAGATCAGTGTTGTTCTGAATTCCGAATTTTCTAACAGATTTTTTGCCTGTTATTGAAACCTCGGTGTGTAACCTATTTTTTTGAATGCTGATTTGTCATTTGAATTATAGGTACACGAAAGTGGCAGCAAAGATTTCATGTCGCCTAACGCAAGTCGAAACCAATGTTGTCGTCCCGGTCAAGGTGGCGTCGGACAAAGAAGAGTTCGCCGCTCGCACCATACGACCCAAGCTTTGGAACGTCGCTAAGAAGTACTTGATAGAATTTCCCACGATCATGCCAAACATCATTAGCCTGGATGAACAGATCTGGGCGACGACCTCAAGTGTAGTTGACCTGTCGCAAGAATTGACGAATATCATAGACCACATGAAGGTCTCTTTCGAAGTGGCGCCAGTAATTAATATCCATGGCGGTCACATCGCAGCCGTTGAAATGCTGGAAAAATTCGTCGACTCACGATTGAAAAATTACGAAAAGGATCGTAACATTCCTGGAACAGCAGCTCAGAGCTTTCTGTCTCCCTACCTTCATTTCGGCCATCTAAGTCCCGTGGAGGCTATTCTTCGAGTGAAAAGGAGTCAAGCGCCCGCGGCGCCAAAAAATGCCTTCATCGAAGAACTGTTCGTTAGGCGCGAACTAGCCGTAAACTTCGTATATTACAATGATTCATATGACTCTATAAAATGCCTGCCAGCGTGGGCTACAGAAACGTTGAAGATTCACGAGAAAGACAAAAGGCCATACGTCTACTCATCAGAACAACTTGAAAATGGTAACTTCCTTCAAGGTTTTAATTTGAGAACGATTAACGATGCGTTCAATACCCAGCTAAGCACGTACAGAAGTCTAACATGGAAATTCTGCTTAATGTTCAGCATTAGTTCCTAATTTGAAGTGAGGAACTTCATGATCGAAAAATGGTTGTAGTTCACTTTCGAAAGTGTTCCTTGAAAAAGTTTCTTGTCGGTAGTGAGTATCTGGTTGTGAGGCAGCAGTATTGTCATTTCATTCACTTCATTTGCCACGAAAGGATAACAATCCAGAAGATACCGTAATCTTTCCTCCAGACGCACTCATAAAGCATCTACTGCTACTCGTCGATTTATATATCAGAAGCTGGCACTGGCCCAAAGAAACGCTGTCCATTATACTCAGAAAAAGATAAATCATCAATAGATATACTCAGATGATATCGCTGACAAATTATTACATATTCGCCACAGGTGATCATATCTGTCTTACAGGCACAATGACTTAGGAATATCGCGAATGTTTGCCTTCGCCATGAATTCTCTTGAACAAGGGATTGACCCAATTTTGCTTCGACACCACCAACCGAGAAACGGGTAGTAAAGTTTGTTACTTACGAATAATAGGGAAACCATGGTATTCCGGTGTGGTCATGCCAGCATGGACGAGATAGTATGGCTATACTATCTGATGCGAGCCCCCGTTGTGATTGCATTTCGCCTTAGCCCATCTGGTGATGACTGACTATTCAATTTAATCCTGATTTCGATTTACTGTCGCTGCTCTCTATTCTGTCTGTGAAAAAAGTTACGAGCGCGTATCCAGAAGTGAGAA